ACTAGGTAAGCCTAAATTGCAGAAGAAAACCAAAACTTGCGAAAGTAAAACAATTTAAAAACAGAAATAAGGCAATAACAGTGTTAAATCTGCCGCTCGGCATACACCATATATATATAAATCTCAAAATCAATATCTAAATCCAAGACCACGAAACCCATGAATTACAAGCTAAGATAAATACTACATAGCTCTAACTCCAGAATGTCTAATAAGAACAGAAAAATAGAGAAGGGCTAAATACTAAAGGCAGGAATGGAAAGGGACTCCTTGGTCTGTGAACGCGGTAGATGTGTACCTCGAAATCTCTAAAGCAGTCGCCTCACTCAAGGATGGTAGGCCTGAGCAGCGGTACCTGGATCTACATGCGTAGAAGGGGCATGAGTATACCACAATGGTACTCAGTAAGTCCCAAGCCTAACCTCAGTCGGGTACTGATGAGGAAGGTTAGCGCCCTACTGAGGTTAAATAAATAATATAATGACAGGATGAGATAAGCAGTAAAATTGAGAATCTATATTAAGAATCTATACAGTATAATAAGAGTACGATAACGAAAACAGAGATAAAGGAAAACCACATGGAAATACCATTCATAGCCGGGATGATAACCGGGGATCTCTTGGTATCTCGAGGATCTCTTGGTATCCTCAATACACATGCCAGGGATCACTTGATATCCCGCACCTTAGTTCAAATCATAAATACGTACAGGAAATCTCCCGGGATGTCGTCCTGTAGTCCCAAATTAAAACACACAGAAGCAACACAAGAATACTCGATTAAATGCTAATTTCGTACCAAGTAAATAGTTAATTCTAGCCTAACATGCTTCACATAATGCAATTAAGGTAGTTTAAGCAAATAGGTAAATTAAGTCAACTAAACATGCTTTTTTAAACTAACAACAGGCTAAATTCGCAATTAGACAAGAGGGGTTGCTCTGATGGTAAGCAACCCCCACTTCCAACCGAGAGGTTGTGAGTTCGAGTCTCCCCAAGAGCAAGGTGGGAAGTTCTTGGAGGGAAGGATGGCGGGGGTCTATTTGGAAACAGTCTCTCTACCCTAGGGTAGGGGTAAGGTCTGCGTACACACTACCCTCCCCAGACCCCACTAAATGGGATTATACTGGGTTGTTGTTATTTTTGTTGTAATAAAGTAGGAGAAAGGAACTCAAATTAAATACTTAAAGTAAAATCGCATTTTCAATAATTAGCTCAAGTACACACTCGTCACCTCATGTACAAGGCATTTCAATTATCATAAATATTATATTCTAAGGGAAAGGTCCCCAAAACAAGGTTAGACAAGTCACTTACCTTGAAACAACTCAAAATCAACCCGACACAACGTCTTTGCCACGAGTACTCGACTTCAAATGGCCCAAATCTATTCAATTCAATTGCATAATGTAAATAACATTTCAAGTAACTGATTCTACAATTAAATTCTAAGCTAATACGCGAAATTATGTAAAATGACCAAAACATCCCTCGGACCCACATCTCAGAATCGGGAAAAATTTATATTTCCAGAAACCTCACGCTCTCACGAGTTCAGCCATATCAAAAGTGCCAAAATTGGACCTCAATTTGTTCCTCAAATCAACACTCAAAGGTCTCCAACTACACAAGCCCTAAACCCCCAATTACCACTGATTTTCCTTAATTTTTCATGCTTAAATTGATAAAAATTACTCCAATAACGAGTTTAGGGACCAAAGATCTTACCCCCAATGAACTCCTCTGAAAATCCCTCTTGAAAAGTGCTCCCCAAGCTTCTTCCCGTTTTGAAAAATATGAAAAAGGGCTAAAATTCGCGAAGGCAAAAATTCATATGTTCTGCCCAACGATTTCCGCATTTGCGACCCTAGGACCGCATCTGCAGTCACGCTTCTACGGAGACTTCGTCGCATCTGCGACTTCCACTTAAATGCCAGCTTCCGCATCTATGACACCCCATCCGCAGATGTGGTACCACTTTTGCGGTATGATCACCGCTTCTGCGGTTTCCTGTAGAATTCCCAAATTCCGCTTCTACGGTCTCTACGCCGCTTCTGCGGCTTCGCCCCTGCAGAACCCAAATCGCAGGTGCGGTTATGACAGAAAATCAGCTGCTGCAGCAAACTTGAAACTCCAAATCCTTCTGTCAACTATCCGAATTCATCCCGAGGCCCCCGGGACCTCAACCAAAGGCATAAACATATCCTAAAACCTTATTCAAACTTGTACCAATCTTCAAAACACTTCAAACAACATCAAAATAACCAAACACATCAAATTCAAGCCTAAGTTTCTAAAATCTTTGAATTCCACTTTTTATCAAAAACCCAACCAAACCACGTCCGAATGTCCTAAAATTTTGCACACACATCCCAAATGACACTACAGAACTACTGTAACTCTCGAAATTCCATTCCGAACCTCGGATCAAAATCTCACTATCGGACCGGAAATTCAAAAATTCAACTTTCGGCATTTCAACCCTAAATTAGCTATGGACCTCCAAAACACAATCCGAACACGCTCCTAACCCCGAAATCACCCAACTGAGCTAACGGAATTATCGTATTTCCATTCCGAGTCCGTCTTCACATTGTTCTGACCACGGTCAACTTTTCAACACTTAAGCTCTCATTTAGGGACTAAGTGTCCCAAAACTCTCCGAAACTCAAAATCGAACATTCCGGCAAATCAAAATTATAGAAATAAACTCGGAAAAAGTAGTTAATAGGGGATCGGGGCATTAATTCTTAAGATGACCGGCCGGGTCGTCACATAATTGGGTTTTGAATAGTTCTCAATGGTTTTTACCAAGGTTCGAAGGGTATATCTTCTACTGGCGTGAGGAGCATGTGGTGTATGGTTAATTTCTCTCGGATGAAATCAAATGAAAGGTCCGTGGCTAATTGAGTACGTAGTAGCTTATGACTCTGAGTGGACTATAAAGTTCTCATTTTTTTCATATGATGGCATGGTATATGCAGTGTGTTGTGTGGGTTGAGATTTACGTGAGCAGGACCATAGTTCAGTTTTGAAGGGAAGGTCATGAAATCGTAGGCAGTATGGACAGTTTCAGATGACTAGGTAAATAATATCACTATTGGTATGGCTTGATGAGAGTATACATTTCAGAAGGGGCAATGTGTTTTATTTATGGATATTTCATTGGTACTGCGTCACTCTCCTGGTTGATCGACTGTTGATATTCGAATATTTCTATGTGGCACGAAAGAATTCTAGAAGTATTCCTCGTGGGATGATCGTGTATGAGAGATATGTTAGACATTCTAGCGGTGGAGTTGGATCAGATATGGTGATTTGTTTGTTCTATGGATTTGGAGACTGGGAGTTCTGAGGAGCAGATTGTTTCATGGTTGTGGACTGTGAAGTCATGGCCGAAGCTAGCTAGATGATAGTTGTGTTATGATTCAGTCATTGTGAGATTTCAGAGGTTTATTTATCTATTTGTCGGTGTTCGGAGTTTATTTGGGGGTTCATTGGTAGGCCCAATTAATATCTGTATTCTACACCGAGTCGAATTTGTTGGCTCCATAATGCTATTGTTGAGGGATGTACTATTCGGTTGTTGCTGAGCTTATTCAAGTTCTGGAATTTTCTGTGAGTTGCTCTTCTTTGATACGAGGAATTGTGATTCATTGATTTTAGGCACACATGGTGCAAATCTATTGTGGTCTTATAGCAAAATTTGAGCGAGATGAGTAGTTGGGCATTGCATGATTGAGGGCGTATCAGTTATATTCTTCAGATTTTGCATGGCATTGTATCGTCTAATTCTTTGTGGTTATGGTAATGCACTTTGGGTACGTGTTGTCAAATTTCGCGTGATTATTGATTTTGAGCAGGGCGGCTCGAGCTATATGATATGGACCAGCGTTTGGATAGAGTTGCGCATTGCAACGGAGTTATGTTGAGATATGAACCTTTGTTTTAGAGTCGGATTGTTACACCCTGTAAGTTTAACAACCTTGATACCGTTATATATATATNCTTTTTTTTTTTCATAAATAGCCACAACAATCTTCTTTTTCTAACACAGCATTCTTTTATGGTCAATTTGTTCAAACAAGCTGAAACAGCTAAACCAACAGGACCAGCTCCTACAATAACCACTTCCACTTCTTCCTTTGTAAAACTAACCATTAAAATTTTTCAGAGAAAGAGAGAATTTTTTTGAGAAATTATACAAAGGTGTATATACGTATGGACTGCACAAAGTAGAAACTTGAGAATTTTTTTTTTGCTGGTTTTATGTCACAAAACAACTGTTACATGCAAGAAGATAGTAGATTAGAAGTAAGACTTGGAATTTTGTCTTTAACTGTATGAAAACTTTGTATGGTCTCATCTAGTTTGTTTTACATGGAGACAACTAGCTTGGTTTCTTCCTCTTTGTTCCTCATCTCTAATTTAATTACTCCATCCGTTTCTTCCATACTCTTTATATATTTATTTAAAGAGATTTTAAGAAAGTTTATGTTTTAAATTATACACATAATATAAGAAAGTTTATGAGATTTTTTTATTGTAAAGATAAAATTTATTTTTGCACAAGAAAAGAAGGTTATCTTTTGTGTATGTATTTATTTTATATGGTATCACATGACTATGATAGTAGGGTGTATAAAGTGTATCAAAAATAAGTAGAATTTTAAGTAATTTGAGACAATTCTTAATTACGCGGATAATTGATTATTACCGGACAACGAGATATTACCTAATTAATTAATATATTTGGATAAGAACTTCAACGTGGCATCTTTTGACATAGAGAAAGTATGACTCATACATTATTAATATATGTGGCTTGATTTAATATGGAGTATGACTGGATGAGTAGGATCAAACTTCTTCTGCTAAAGGAATTTTTGCTTACATGTCATGGTTAATCGATAATTGTATGATGTATTAACTGTGTGTTTTCATTTCTGTATCTCTTCTCTATGTATATCCCCATATGCTCTTTATCAAAAACTATAACTGCATATGCTCTTCATTAAGTAACTTGGACCACATGATCGTAGCTTTGGTTAAATAATTCTTTTCTACGTTCTTTGATACTATTAAAAAGCAAGAAGAATTTGTGTCCTAAAATGTCCAAAATCACATTGACTTGAAAAAGTTACTAGACATCCTCGGTATATCCGCTTCCCAAACCTCAAAGATGAGTAAATGAAATTGTAGGAACTTTTGTTCCAGGGGTCCTTGGCTTCTATTCCCTGTTAAGCTCAGTTGTTATCAGAGCATGGTAATACAATCATGTAGACTGTTTAGCCCAATTACTTCTAGAGAACGCATGGAAGTGGCTTGTCATGTAAGGTTCACTGGATTGAGTTGTTACTGTAGTTGATTAAAGGGATTGTGAAGAGAATAGGCTCAGGTATGTTAAGGCTATCTCTTCTTTCTTTTTGGCATGATCTATACGATACGAACGAAACTAGCAAATGCACAACTTCCATAAATGACTCTATTCATAGAAATACTAGAGATGCTTATGTTCTTGGTTCCCCATGTGTCATATTATTCTATCATGTGTTCATGGGTCTCAAAAATACGTAAGTTGGTAAAGTTTATTTCATGCTATTAATCAAAGGCATAATTGTCTTATGACGTACCGAGAGATTTTATTAACGTATTTCATATGCATTTCATGCATTTATACATGCACATTGACCCATGACCAGATGACGTTATATATGCGTATATATATGTATATGTATGTATATCGGATATGGGAAAGGTTATGGCGTTATATACGCACCACCACCTGATCAGTTGGTATACCTTGATGATTTGCCCACAGTGGCCAAGATGATATGGTGGGATGCCCTCAGAGCCTTGATGATGTTATGTACGTACAGACCTATGCATCACATGACATTTATATGCATATGCATGATATTATAAATATTTCATGATTTACAGAGCTATCCAAACTTTCAGGTTGAGTCTTTTACTCCGTGTTTCTTCCTTGTCCATAATTAGATTTTGACTTACAGTTATGTTCAGTTCCACCTTACATACTGGGTGCATTACTCATACTGATGTCCTTTTGTTGGGGACGGTACATTCATGCCTGCAGGTATAGACAATTAGTTTGACGAACCCTCATAGTAGACGAGGTTAGCATTCAGCAAAGGATCGGTAAAACTCCACCTCATTCAGAGTGCATCCGTTTCTATAAGTCATCATGTCAGATTTTTGCTATAAACTTATGGGTAGGCCGATACCCTATCCCGTTTTATGTCAAATAATCTTATAGGCTTTGTAGACACAGGTTTATTATGTACAGTATGTCAGAGACCTTGATGGCCCATATGTATTCATGTTTTATGAACGAAGGTTCATTGATATAATATTTGCCCACTTACAATTTTACATTATGAGTTGTGGCCATGTTGGCCCATGATAGTTACAAAAGGAATGAATTAGTTACAGAGTGGTTCGCTTGGGCCAGTGCAGCACCAGGTGCCAGCCACGCCTCCCAAGGTTGGGGTATGACAAAGTGGTATCAGGGCGAGTCGTGTCCTAGGGAATTTACAAAGTCGTGCCTAGTAGAGTCTCACTTATGGGTGTGTTTGTGCGCCACACTTATAATTGAGAAGCTATAGGGCATTTAGGAAATGTTACCCTTCTTTTGTTTCCAAATCGTGCCATAGAGCTGAGTCGTACTAAGTCAGTATGAAGCATTCGCTAGATTATGTATGCATCAGAGATACACGTATCACAATAGAGCTTTAAACCGTAAGGTGGAAGGGAGGTTATGAAAGAAACAGAAGATACGATGCGAGATTGTAAAGTAAGGTAAATGTGAATAAGATACAAGATACTCAAGTACAAAAGGTTGTGAATAGTCAAGACATCCGATATAACTTTGGTTTTAGTTTAGTTAGAGAGGAGACCCTAGTGAAAATTTTGAAAATCTCTAAGAGTTAATATTCAAGAACGAATGTTCTAAAGCGGGGAAGGGTGTTACACCCCGTAAGTTTAACAACCTTGATACTCATATATATATATATATATATATATATATGGCATTTCAATGCTGAATTTGCATGTGACTTCAAAGGCAATGAACAAAAATCTTTAGATAAATGCAAGTGAAGTCTATCATAAGTCTTTTTTTTCATAAATAGCCACAACAATCTTCTTTTTCTAACACAACCTTTTTTTATAGCCAATTTGTTCAAACAAGCTGAAACAGCTAAACCAGCAGGACCAGCTCCTACTATAACCACTTCCACTTCTTCCTTTGTAAAACTAGCCATTAAAATTTTTCAAAGAAATAGAGAATTTTTTTGAGAAACTTATACAATGGTGTATATATGTATGGACCGCACAAAGTAGAAACTTGAGAATTTTTGTTTCCTGGTTTTATGTCACAAAAAAATCGTTACATGCAAGAAGATAGTCGATTAGAAGTAAGACTTGGAATTTTGTCTTTAATTGTATGAAAACTTTGCATGGTTTCATCTAGTTTGTTTTACATGGAGACAACTAGCTTGGTTTCTTCCTCTTTGTTCCTTATCTCTAATTTAATTACTCCATCTGTTTCTTCCATACTTTTTATATATTTATTTAAAGAGCTTTTAAGAAAGTTTATGTTTAAATTCTACACATAATATAAGAAAGTTTATGAGATTTTCTTTATTTTTGCACAAGAAAAGAAGGTTATCTTTTTTACTATTTTAACAATTAAGCGTACGAGAGTTTTAACTCTTTATATGAGATTAGGAAAATTATAAGCTGAGAAAATATATGTATTTTTACATGGATGTTTTAATAAAATAATAGTGTATGTATTTATTTTATACGGTATCACATGACTATGATAGTAGGGTGTATAAAGTGTATTAAAAATAAGTAAAATTTTAAGTAATTTAAAACAATTCTTAATTATGCGGGTAATTGGTTATTACCGGATAGCGAGATATTACCTAATTAATTAATATATTTGGATAAGAACTTCAACGTGACAGCTTTTGGCATAGAGAAAGTATGACTCATACATTATTAATATATGTGGCATGATTTAATATGGAGTATGACTGGATGAGCAGGATCAAACTTCTTCTGCTAAAGGAATTTTTGCTTACATGTCATGGTTAATCGATAATTGTATGATGTATTAACTGTTTGTTTTCATTTCTGTATCTCTTCTCTATGTATATTCCATATAGTTTCATGGTATGATTCAGTAATTTAATAGTTATATAGTTGTTACAATTCTGGATATCACCTTTGTTCTTATATAATGGAACTACCGTACTCCACCTCCACTCCTACGATATTCTCTTCGCCTTAAAAATAACATTGAATAACCCAGTCAACCACTCCAAACCTGTTCTCCCCACACTCTTCTAAAATTTCACCGGAATCTCGTCTGACCCGGTCGCTCTACCCCTACTCATCTTACGCATAGCTCTTACGATCTCCTCAACTTTGAAATACCCGCAGTACCCAAAGTCACAGTGACTCTCGAAATGTTCCAATTCGCCTAGCACAATATTCCGATCCCCTTCTTCATTCAGAAGTTTATGAAAGTAAGTCTTTCATCTTCTCTTAATCTGCGCATTTTCCATTAATACTCTACCATCTTCATCCTTGATGCATCTCACTTGGTCCAAATCCCGAGCCTTCTTCTCTCTCAACTTGGCCAGCCGGAATAACTTTTTCTCCCCGCGTTTTTCCCCAATTCCTCGTACATACGACCATAAGCCGCAGTCTTAGCCTCCGTGACCGGCAGCTTTGCTTCCTTCCTAGCTACCTTATTCCTCTCCACGCACGCTCGCTCCTCCTCCTCACCTATGCTCCCCACTAACTTCAGGTACGCCGTCTTCTTCGCTTCCACTTTACCTTGGACCACTTCATTCCACCACCAGTCTCCTTTGTGCCCACCAGAGACGCCCGTCGAGACCCCTAACACCTCTCTCGCAGCCTCCCTTATACATCCGGATGTCACTGACCACATAGTGCTCACGTCACCTCTCCTCCAAGCTCCCATAGCCGACAACCGTCCCTCCAACTCTTGGGCTTTATCCTTAGTTAAGGCTCCCCACCTGATTCTCGGTCTTTCTCGAGCAGACTTTTTCCTCCTCTTTAACATAATACCAATGTCCATCGCCAATAGCCTATGATGTGTCACGACTATCTCACCCGTAATCACCTTGCAATCCTTGCACAACCCTCTGTCACACCTCCTGAGGACGAGATAGTCAATCTGAGTCTTCGCCACTGCATTTTAAAAAGTAACCAAATGCGCCTCTCTCTTCGGAAAGCTAGAGTTCGCAATTACCAACCCAAAAGCCTTGAGGAATATAAATGATTTTCACCCTTATAGATATAGAAAAAGAGTAGGAGAAAAAACTTTCTTTCCTTTATTTATTGGATTACTGACATACCTCTGTATAACAGCATCGTTATATAATAGCAATTCACTATAAAAATTAAGTTTTTTATGAAACCAATTTTTATATTATGTTATAATATATATTCTCTATAACAACATCTAGCTATAACAATAAAAAAAAATTGAGAACGAGGGTGTTATAGAGATGTTTGAGTGTACTTGCAAATATCAGCTAATAACATGCTTGAAAGAATAATTGCAATTCATTTCCAGAAATCTCATCCTGTTAATTTTCTTTACAAAAGCAGGAAAATATAAATAAATTTCGACCGGTCTGTCCTACTTTCGATGGTAAGCATTTAACTAGAGTGAAACACAATTTCTTTCAATCCTTTTCTTCTCTCGCCAGCACAGCGTCGTAGAAACTGCTACACACTTGTTCCCTCGAGAGAAAACTGAAGAAAAAGAAAACGAAGAAACTCTGAAAAGGTTGAGGCGGTTTCAATCTCTCGACTCTGCTACAGGTAATTAAGAGTCATTTATGTTTTCTTTGTAATTCCCACTTCCATTCCCGACCCTTGAACCCCTCTACTTTTGGGGGAATTATGTAGCAATGTTAATGAAGTAACTCATGACGTCCGCCTAACCCATTGACAGAGAAATCCTGAAGGCCGGAGGCGCAAAGTTTTCTGGATAATGGTTCGTCCTGCTATGCGTCTCCACCTAAAAACTACGTAGTAGGTTTTTGTCTAGTTTGAACCCATGATGTGCGACCAAAGCCCTAGAGCGCCATACTCCCCAATTCTCTTGGACCCTAATTTCTGCTTACAAATTGATTTTTCTCTTGATGCATATGGAAATTGGGGGTGGATATTGGTAAAAATTCTGCAAGATGTTTAACAAAGTCAATCACAAAACATGAGACATTATTTTTTGTTATTGTTTTCTTTGCCCTATTCAGAAAGCAACCACAGAATCTAGTTTTTCTGCGTTCTTGCTCTAAAATAAGTATTTCTGCTTGTATTTATGCATTCTTTGCTTATTTTAAATAAATATGACCGATATTTACTTTCTTGATGGTATGTTGGGGAAGCATTAGTTGTTCATTGCTTACCTTGCAGCAGGTCATCATCCACATTCTTCAATCTTTATTGCAATAGAAATATTATTAATGTGGTTCTTCTTTTAATATTTTCCCCTGCTGTGTTTTGTTTGACCTGTTTAGAAAGGAGAATAGATGTTATTTAGATGTTTCTCGCAATTGATTAGCTAAATGCACCTTTTCTGTCCCAGTTTATATTAACTACACTATATACTCCCTCCAGTCCACAATAAGTGACCAATTTGCCTTTTTATTTTGGTCCAAATTAAGTGTCCATTTATATAATCAAGAAAAATTCAATTTTTTTTTTTCAGAATTACCCTTATGTATGTATCCCTAAAAAGTCTTTTACTCCTAACGTTAACTATGTTGCAACATTTAATTAAGGGTAATTTAGTCACACTAACTATTTTTGTCTAAAATTTTGTATTTCCTTAATGCGTGTGCCCAAGGCAAATTGGTTACTTATTGTGGACCGGAGGGAGTAACTTTTATATCATCTCAAATAGAGTGAATTATTTCCATAAATCGGCAAGTGCGCAATCTTCAAGAACTTAAAATACGTCAAGAATATTAGATTATGAACTTAATCTTGCGTAACATCTTTCCCGTGGATGCTCTCTCTTTGGCGTGCTCCGATCAACTTTTGTTTCTAATATGTTTCCACTCATTTGCTTGCTCTCCTGAGTCTGACTTTTATCTATTAAAAATACGTGATTAGATAGAGTGGCAGTTATGCGTTAATGACGAAAGCTCATGGTGAACTGTGAGCTTAATTGGAAAGAAAAATAGAGTAACAGCTTTTCTCCTCAAGTACTAAAACTGAGGAACCCTGGCTAATGCGAGGAAGAAAATCCTTATATAAAATTTCAACAGGTTAGACGGGCTGAATATCTGGAAGAATAATGAAACCTTAGTAGGAGACAGTTAATGGGCTTGCTTTGCAGATACTAACAGTGTTCTCTATGTGAAGTTTATGGTCCTCTTATCTTTCAATCTCTGTTTTATCCTGATACTCTCGCATGTATCATTATTTTGTCTCTCCAAGATACTAAAAATGGTAAAATCGTATGCAGTTGAAAATATTGAAGTACTAGTCATATACCGCTATGCATACATTGCTGAAACACGTATTCATAAGAATTTGAATTTCCTTCAAATAGCTGTTGGTTGAATATTGAATACTATGTTGACAAGTGCATTTCCTTGGTACTATTTGTTAACTTCCCTGATTTTAATTTTCAGAATTGCCTGCAAACTCGTCAGTATTGGACCATGAATAGTGCTGGGAGTTCTGGTGTTGATACAATTAGCAATTTGCAATGTAATGTCCTAGAGGAAATTCTAGGGTGCTTGCCTTTGAAAGATGCAGTGAAGACCAGTGTCTTGTGAAAAGGCTGGAGGTACAAATGGGTCACACGTCAAAAACTTGATTTTAGTGATGAGTTTTTCAGGTCATTTGCACATGATCAAGACGCTAAGACAATCATTTACCAAGTCCTATTACTCCATAAAGGACAAATACTGAAGTTTAAACTCGGAGGCCCTAATTTGAGGAATTGGCCTGATATTGATCACTGGATACTCTTTTTGTCAAAGAAAAATATCCAGGAATTCACCCTTCACATACGGTCAGGCAACATATATGTTTTACCTTCTCACCTTTTTACATTCCGACAACTAAGGCATCTGGAAATTCATAAATGCTTGTTTTCCCCTCCGCCTGGTTTCAAAGGGTTTGAGAAGCTTATTAATCTTGATTTTTATGGACTCACTTTTGTTCCATCAGTATTTTGGAATCTCATCTCTAAATGCCCATTGCTTGAACGATTGAGGTTGCTTTGGTGCGTTGACTTTGACACCCTTGAAATTGATGCCCCTAGTCTCAAATTCTTTGAGTTTAGAGGAAACTCAAAAGTCCATTTGCTTCAAGAACACCCCGATGCTTGAAAAAGTTGCTGTGTATCTCAGATCACGAGTTTTGCCTGATTCATCTCCTGGTTGTTCAAATCTTATGAAGTTCTTTCATTGCATCCCTTCCCTACAGGAACTGGAAATACGTGGTTCGTTATGGGAGGTAATGGAAATGTGTAATAATATTATTATAGTCTCGTGAAACTTGGTACATATCATAACCAAATGATGTACCTGATTCGTTTCTTTAACTAATTTTGACTTGCTTCTAGTACTTGACCGTGGGAGGTCTGCCACATAATCCCCCGACTGCTCTGAATAATGTCAAATCTCTCAAAATGGCGGACATGTCTTTCGGGGATCTTAAGGAGGTTTCGGTTGCTGTTTACTTGATTACAAGCTGCCCTAAATTACAACAGCTTACAATTAAATGTGTAAGCACTCTCCTATTTTCTCTTGAAAGTGACTGAATATGGTCTTTACACTGAACTCGCCTGACCATTTTTCCCGAAAATCCTTTAGGAATCAGTGAACAATGTTGTGGAAGCTGTTGTACAATTCTTACAAGACCAAACATGCTCTGGTGGTGTTGTGAAGCTGCTTCAAAGTGTGGAGATGAGTCATTTTACTGGCACTAAGATGGAAATGCAATTTGTGAGGTTTATACTAGCATCTGCACCATTACTTAAGGAAATTTTCATTTGGAATTTTTCATATATCCTTCAGTCGGGAAGACAAATGATAAATGAGATGAAACAATACCGTCGAGCATCGCCCAATGTTGAATTCAAGTTTGAAGCTGTTGAGGTAGAATAGTAGAAGATCATGTATTGATTGAAACCCAAGAAGCCATGGAAGTACCATGTATACTACTTGTCCTTTGACTTTGCTCGTTATGCAGTGTGTGTAGTAAACAGTGTAAAGGTGCTTGCGTAAGAGAGATTGTTCAACTATCATAGCTTATCATGTAATCTGTCTCTATGAGTTTAACTTGCTATGTTTCAAACGTACGTACCTACAATCAGAGCATGCTTAATTCACTAAGTGCATAACATGTCTTTTTTATATATAAGTTTTATTGCTTAATCATGATTAATGAATATGTATTTTACCTTTATTTATCACTTTCATTAAATTAACGTAAATATAGTTTTTTTCCCTGAGGATCACTGTATGGTGTTGCCGTGGATGCCTAAAGTGTGTGAATCAATGTATCCTAATTTATCTTTCAAATAAGAGTTGAAGTAATTAAAACTAATGATTAGACAAACAATTTACCGAACACCTAGATTAAACGTATCCTAATTTATCTTTCAGATAAGAGTTGAAATGATTAAAACTAATGATAATTTATCGTCAGATAAGAGTTGAAATGATTAAAACTAATGATAATTTATCGAATACCTAGAATAAAGGAATGAAACTAAGATTGTACTTGTATGATTGTACACCCAGATTTACTGACTTCTCACTGGAGCTTTGTCGGAAAAACCATGGTCATCAGCCACTTTGTAATAGAAAAGGGATTTTGGGCTAATATTACTAGATCCTTTTCTCTAAAAATTACTAGAAACAATTAACTTCTTTAAAAAGATCACCAAAATCCTGGTCCATTATAAAATCATCAGACGAAACTGAGGAATCATATGAAGGATTTTGACAACTTTATAGCAAACTTCAGTTCTTTAAATGTCCAACTCTTTAGAAGTTGAGGGGTAAAAGATGGATTTTTAGAGATAAGAACCGCTTTATTAGTTATTTACCAGTCAATTACGGTGGAAAATAGTAATAATTTGGTTTTACTATTCTTTCTGATAAAAAGGAGAATTAGGAAGCCATCTATTCTTTTTTCTTTTCAAGTTACTCCTAGTTTTTCTTGTTTTTGTTGCTTTGGGGGGAACGAACAAAAGGGAAAAGACAAGAAAATGTGGAGTTTGACCCTGTGTAGATAAAGTTTCAACTATTAGACCAATTTAATGAAGATGGAAGAGGTCTATGCAAGGAACATTTAGTAAGAGTCATAAATCTATACTTTTTCAAATCTTCTTATGCTTTAATTAACTTAATTTAAGTCAAAATTGTCTACCAATATAAATTTATTGTAAGTGCGGGATGAAGGATAATTAAAATTATGAATGGAATGTGAACATTTTACATTGATGAAGTGAATCGTATAGATGGAATATGGAAATACTGTACCTTCAGAGAACAAACTCGCAACACTGCAGCGAGCTGTGTTGAAGAGGACCAGACATCTCAGAGAAATTTTTTCCGAAAAATGTACTTCTACAAAATATTTTCCGAGAAATGTTTTTCAATGTTTGATTTAAGAGTTAATGAATTTTTTCTATAAAAGCTTTTAGATACAAATATAGTACTAGTAATATTAGCAAACCAAATAGGTTGTCGATAAAAACTGACTTTCAAAGTTGATAATACCATCTAGCTGTCAAGTTAGTTATGGAAAACGGGAATTCTGTGCAAAAGCAGGGAAATACATTTTCCTTGAGAAAAATTTTGGAAACCAATTCTCGTAAAATAAAGACATTTTCTCAGTTAGGAAACCTTTTCAATTAGTTAATACACATTACAACCATGGAGTTGAGAGATGAAGAATCAACTATTACTCATATATGTATTACATAAGAGTCCCGTAATCACTTAAAGGCGAGAACATTAATCATCGGTGAAACTATTCAAAGACATCTCACAAAATTTCATCAACACAATCAAATACCTCATTCATATGCCAAAGATCAACATACAAAATAAAAATCCGAGGAGAAAACTACCCACTCTGCAGTCAAAATTGGTGAACAATACCAATAATGAGTACATAATACCAGAAATAATTACTAGATCATCATATAAAACCATCGACGAAACAGTAGGCATTCTGCTCATACCCTATCATCTGTTCACCGAGACATCAACCTCTAATAATCACGTCAGATGTTTATGAGATAAATGACCCAGAGGCTGTTTTTGCGATCATCATTTCACCTAGGAGGAATAGCGGAGCTTCTGTTAAATCAAGGTGCCAATAGAAAGAGGTAAGCAAGGATCATCGATGCAACCTGTTCTGGTTAATCATCCAAATAATAATAGGATCCAGCTGACTTCTGCTCCCTATCCTTGGTTGATTCCAGTTTGTTGATTCTTGGACGGAAATTAGTTGGGTCCCTTCTAAATGTAATGTTCAGGTGCTGCACATAATTTGGATAGCACATCAATTAGAAAAAAAGGAACACAAATCCCATCAACAACCAGAGCACCACAGCCATCTAAACAGCATTCATTTTAAAAGAGAAAACATGAGCTACAAGGAATATTAGTTTTGGCCAAGGACGAATCTCAAGAGTAATAAAAATGTTATACTAAGAAAACTTTCAAGTATGAAGGCAAGCTAAAAAAGATAACAAACAAGATATATGCAAAGATCTTACTGATAAAAATAGGTTCATCCCCGTCAACAACGATTGGGGTGCATTTGCAACACAATCTATGGAAGGCGTCCCCTCGTACACAATGACTCTATCTGCCAGGTAAGTTGCCATTATAAAGTCATGCTCTACAATAAATGCGGTTTTCTTCGCATGAAGAATGAATCTCTTGATGACTTTTGAAGCTACAATACGTTGCTCAGAATCAAGATAGGCACTTGGCTCATCGATCAGATATATATCAGCAGGCTGCATGGAATTAAGAAATAAGTTAGATTATATTTTATAAATACACCCCTAACGTAAAAGAGAAATGAGTGCAATAGTCTTCATATGCTGCCCTTCTAAGAAATTTTCCGCTGCAATCTACAGTTTACTATTAATGGTACCCTCTAAATGGCTTTAGAGTAATGTGATATTCGTATTTGGTGCAACATTAATATAACTGTGCAGTAAGAACAAAGATCACGCCTTCGATAATAATAGCACAAGGCTAGACTTATAAGAAATTAATGCAGAGGAGCAGCAAAATGCAATATGGATATTGACTATCGAATACAACCAAGATGCAGAAAGAAATTTCATTGCTAATTTGTCAATAAAGTTTGCAAAACCCTCATTCAAATACCCTAGAGCAGGGAAGAAAATAAAAATGATAAACCAAGAAAAATTGTTGCAACATTAAGCAAACAGATGGGTAGTCCTTTTGCAAAGTTGGATCAGAGCCTTTACAATGCAACAACACATAAAGTACATCAATCGCCATAAAGAGATTGACGTAACAGAAGATCTAATAATGGTTTGATCAAAATTAATAGTTTGATCATCCATTCTAAAACTTAATCTGTGATGATACTAATGAGATTATGCTCTGATAGCAAATATTAGCAAGACCATTCTGGAAAAGCAGGATACAGTTAAGTAAAATAAGGAGGGAGAAAAAAGATATCAGGAAAAAGTTCGAATATCTGTCTTAGAGATAGCAAAGAATCGACAGGCAGCCTCTGTTATGATTGGACCAAGACATCTACCAGATTGTACAAAACAACCAAAGCAGCATATCTACAGAGTTAGCAAAAATTACCTTTCCAAGGCACAGGGCTAAGGCAACTCTTTGCAACTCTCCACCAGAAAGATTCACAACTTCTTGATCCATCAATTGCTCAATTTGGAGAGGCTTCATCACATCTGAACAGAACTGGGGGTGCATATAAGAATCACGTATCTTTTGATGTAGCAAATGCCTCACGGTTGATTGAAATTTTGGACTGATTTTCTGGGGCTTGTATGAAACATTGAACTCTGGTATATCCGTATCAGATCCTTCCACCACATCAGGCTTTAATAGACCAGCCTGCAGTATTCAGATCCACAAGTGGAAGAGTATTTGTAACACAGAAGACAGGAAACAACAGGCATTTCAGACATGATATATTTGTATGCAAAGTGTACCAGCATGCGAATAAAGGTTGTCTTCCCGGTTCCATTCTCACCAAGCATCACAACAATCTGTGAATCAGTAAATTCACCCTCGGCAACCTTAAGCTTGAAATTACCCTGAGTCTTAGTCATGGTTGGATATCTGTAACGTGCATATGTTTCAATTTCCTCAGCCGCCTCTTGTGGGGTCTCAGCAACCTATGGAAAAATATAAATGTTTAAGATAATATTGTCGTGACCTATGGATTACACAAGAATCTGAATGTACCTTAAAAGTAAGAGATTCATCACGGAAACGTAGATTTTCTGTAGGCACAAATCCAGCCAAAAATATATTAATTCCTTCCCTGACTGAGAAGGGTAGGGTGACAACTCCATATGCACCAGGCTTCCCATATAAGCAGCAAATGAAATCCGACAAATAATCAAGTACACTAAGATCATGCTCCACCACAATGACATAGCTGAAACATAGAAGAAAAATTTCAGAGTAGTGGAATGATAAATTGAAATCTTGAATGTTGAAAAGTCAGATGAGCATGAAAAAGAACCTATTTGGTCGAAGCAAGGATCTGATAACTTGGGCAGCTTTAAGCCTCTGCTTCACATCAAGGTAACTCGAGGGCTCATCAAACATGTATATCTCTGCATTTTGTATTGCAACAACAGCAATAGCAAACCTCTGAAGCTCTCCACCAGATAGATCACCTACATTACGATCCAAAACCTGATTCAGCTCTAGATCAACACAAAGTTGTGCCTTCACATCTCTCTCATCTTTTTGGTCAAGCACTTGTCCCACATTTCCTTGAACTGCCTTTGGAATATGGTCGACATACTGAGGCTTGATAATTGCCTGTTTGAAAGAAGGTTCAAATTACAAATGAATAGAATACTATATGATCAAGAGCAAAGGTAATTGGATGCAACAAATAACGAGCTAAGGAAAAAAACATCTTGATATATAAGTGGTGTGATGATTTTTAAAATTACGTTGTTCAACAATTTTTTGAGTGAGACACTTGGTCGTCATTGTAGAACGTCAAGCATTCTTTATCGTTCAAAATCAATGGCCTACTTGGATGTAGCAGATTCGCTAGTAAACATTTGACCAATCACAATTATACAGAGGAAGAACACCTACATTTGAGTTTTGA